GAAAGGTCCTGACCCGAAATGTGGACTTTCCTGCTCTTCTGATACTGCCTGACCTGCTGTGTTCCTCCAGGTCCACACTATACCGACTCTTTTAGGACCTGACTAGCTCAATTAGGACTCCCAGATCAATTCCCTATGACTGGATACAACAATTCAGAATTCACTATTCTGCTCTGATGTTCTGCAGGTCTGACCTGCTGGTGGGTCATGACGCACCCAGGAACAGTGGTGTCCAGAAAGTTTTATGATATTATACCATGAGACTGAGAGACAGCTCTCCCAATTTAGGCATGAGCCCCCAAATTCTAGTAAGGAGGACTTTACGGGGTCAAATTTCTCATGTTTTGTGTCAGTGCTAGCTCACCTAGTTTTATTTATTTCTTTCATATTTTAGCAGCTTGCTGGACAATTTCAGAATGGTTAATGGTCAACTACAGTGTTGTTAGTCTGGAGATACATGTAAGTCAGACCAAGTAAGGACATCAGTGAGCCAGGTGGAGCCAGTTGTTATGGCAGTAGATAGTCATTATTACTCTCTTAATTCCAGATTTCTTAAAAAATTCAAATTCCACAGTCTGTTGTGGTGGAATTCAAGCCCCGATCCAAAAATTACCACTACTATTTCATCTCCCCTTATTTACTTACTAGTGTAAATTATAAGCAAATGATCCCCGCAGAACACCACTTCCAATCTTTGCAAATTTGCAAGTTTATCTCTCTGAATATTTAATTCATAAGAGCTTGTTATTCAACACTGAGCTCATTGTAGTTTGATCTCCCTTTCTACAAAGAATTCACTGGAGAATTAACATAAGTTCTGTGCTTCTGTATCTGTGTTACGTCAATGCTTTATTATAGTTTTAATTCATCTCCTGTATGCGTAAGCAGAATAATGACATCTTATCATTTATTTATCAGTGGAAAACTAAATCTCTCAATATCTAGTGTGCACATCAATTGCAGAGAATGTAGAGAGCATGGCATTGTTGCAGATTATGCTGTGTATTTCACATATTTTAAGTAACACAAATAATTTCAGAACAATGTTAATAGGAAGATTTACTGCCCTTTCCAAGTGTAATTGATAAAGCCGACACCGGCAGAATAGAATAACTCATTACCAGTAATGAATACAAATTAGTGCACAGGCCTATTGCTGCATTGAGAATTGGTATTTATTTCAGTAAGTGTCATTTACCTTATTCCTGTTGTATTTTTAATGTACCAACAACAATGAAGAATGCAGTTCATTAATGTGATCAAATTCAGCCAAGTTGAGGCTGGTCCTTTGGCGAACAGCTAAAAAATATCTGGAGGAGGAGGGGCCTTTCAAACATCCCACCCTTAATGAGGCAATGAGCACATGTGAGTGCAAAAACTGCTACCACCAAAAAAGATGTGGCCAGCTTCTGCTGAAAGTGTTGAGTGGATGAGCTATCACACCCTCCTCCTATGATCCCCACCATTACAAATGCCAGCCCTTCGGCAATTTTTTTTAATATCTGGAAGTGCAGCCAATTTGATTCACTCCACTTGAGATCAAGAAGCAGCTGAGTTTACTGGATAGAACAATGGCTGTGGGCCCTGTCAGGATTCTGAGTATGAAGCTGAAGACTTATACCCCAGAATTAACTGTACTTCCATCCAAATGCTTCTGGTGCAGCTGCAACATTGACATCTATGCATAGAATTGAAGTGGAAAATTGTTCAGTTATGTCCTCTCCACAAAAAGTAGGACAAATCCAATTTGGCAAATTACTGCCTCAGTCTACTCTCAACAATGTAATCGAAGATGTCTTTGAGAACGCTAGGAAGTAGGAATTACTCACTAATAATCTGTCATTGATGTTCTATTTGGGTTCATCACTTTGTTCCGGACCTCATTACAGCCTTATTCCAGACATGGCCAATACCTGTGGGCAATTAGTCTCAAATCTCCTGGTCTTGCCTGATCTCAGAAGATAAGCAGACTCAGGCCTGATTACCACTTAGATGGGAGGCCTGGGAATATCAAGTGCTGTAGGCTTTAAAAAGACTCTTCTGCAGCAGGGGTAATATTCCTACCTGTAGACCAGAAGTCTTGGGTTAAAGTCCAACCTGTCTGAACAAAAATTAAAAATATGTCCAAGCATGGACAAAAGAGCTGAATTCCAGAGCAAAGATTAGATTGACTGCCCTTAACATCAAGGATGCATTTGACAGAGTTAGTATCAATGACCCAAAGTATGTTTGAAGTCAATGGAAACGTGTTTGAAAACATGACTGCTTGAATTGTACTTAGGGCAAAGAAAGATGGTGTTGAGCCAATCATCTCGGCCACAGGTTTGCTGACTTCTGCCTAGTAGATGGTGGACAGGTTTTGGGGAGTCAGGAGGTGAGTTATTTGCTGCAGTATTCCTAGCCTCTGACCTTTTCTTGTAGCCATTATATTTATGTGACATGTCCAGTTGAGTTTTTGGTCAATGATAACCCCCAGGTTGTTGATCATGGTGGTTCAATGATGGTAACACTGAATGTCAAGGGGTGGTGGTTAGATTGTCTCTTATTGGAGATGGTCATCACGTGGCATTTGTGGGATGCAAGTACTACTTGCCACTTGTCAACCCAATTTTCCAGATTTTTTTGCATTTGAACATGAACTGCTTCAGCATCTGATGAGTTGCGAATAGTGCTGAATATTGCGCAATCATTGGTGAACATCCCCACTTCTGGCTTTATGATGGAGGGGAGGTCATAGATGAAGATGGTTGGACCTCAGATGGTACCCTGAGGAACTCCTGCAGAGCTGGGGTGGCACGGTGGCTCTGTGGTTAGCACTGCTGCATCACAGCACCAGGGACCCGGGTTCGATTCCACCCTCGGGTGACTGTGTGGAGTTTATACATTCTCCCCGCGTCTGTGTGGGTTTCCTCCCACAGTCCAAAGATGTGCGGGCTAGATGGATTGGCCATGCTAAATTGCCCCTAGTGTTCAGGGATGTGTAAATTAGGTGTGTTATGAGGGATGGGTCTGAATGGGATGCTCTGAGGCTCGGTGTGGACTTGTTGGGCTGGAGGGCTTGTTTGCACATTGTAGGGATTCTATGATCTATGTCCTGAAGCTGAGATGACTGACCTGCAACAGCTATGACCATCTTCCTTTGTGCCTGGTACAACTCCAACTAGTGGAGAGTTTTTCCTCAATTCCCATTGAAACAGATTTTCTAGGGCACCTTGATGCTACACTCTGTCAAATGTAACCTTGGTGTTAAGGGCTGTCACTCTCATGTCACCTCTGGAATTCTGCTCTTTTATCCATTTCTGAGCGAAGGCTAGAATGAGGTCAGGAGTTGTGTGGCCTTGGAGGAATCCAAACACTTTTTTAAAATAGACTATCCATTCCCACTTGCCTGCCCAGACCAACCATATTGTGGAATGGTCAGGGTAATATTTGGTTCAGTAAGTTTTTAACAAGTTCAGTTGACCCTCAATTATTTATTTTCATATGGCTGGCAGGCTGCCATGTTCACCCTCCTGCAATATCAGGCTGAGCATGGGGGTCGAGGGAAGGTGGAGTGAAAATCACTCGACCTATTTTACAAGATACCCATCCAATGAACACACACCTGACAAAAGGCATGTAATATCTAGCCCTCTGTATACTATGTAGTCAGTTAAAACATTTCCACAGATGTGTGCTGAAATTAGCCTCCCTTCCAAAGTTACAGCCCAAGGAGTAAAATCCCAGTAGAAATTCAAGTCACTGGTAATCAGTAATATCAAGGAGATATGAGATTTAGGTTCTTGGACTCCTTCCTGGGTTTTCCTAGCACTGAAGGATGGTTCTTGCCTTTAGTGGAGGTTCTTGGAGGTTTGCAATACCATGAAAAGAATGCTGATGAGGTAGAAATGTGGAAAAGTAATTCAAAGCTTACTAGAGCCAATGGGGTTGTGGTGTGGAGGTGATAGCCAGGGATTGAGTGGAATTAAATGTTCTAAATCAGACTGAGACAGTGATTCAAAAATTAAATTTGGTTACGTTGTGAAGTATGTAATTTTTAATTTTAATGGAAGACATATTCGAAACATTACATATTTCATTTACTGAGGAAAAATAATTTATTTTCAAAGTGACTTCATTTTGGCAATAAATTATGTTACAAAATGGTTTCATATGACTTTCCATTGTGAGATGTTTGAACGCAAAATCACATTGAAAATAATTTGTAACAACTGTTTATATATTGAAATATGTTGAACAAAATCATGTTTGTGGGCATGAAGTGCCTGCCATACATAATACTTATCAGTTGTAGTTAAACCACATAGGAAAATAAGCTTCAGTATAAGTTTCAACTAAATTTGCAATTGGTCTGAGTCTTAAATAATATGTCTAGTTGCTATCGTATCTGGAAATAAGCAAATCTGACAATTAACTGTTAGTCATAAATTGCCCAACTGCTTATGGCCATTTGGTGAGTATAATCTACAAAGTATAAGCTGGTCACAGAGTTATAAATGACTTCAAAAACTCACTTGGCAGCGCTCCTAGTATTCAGAGGTTTGAACAATAATTTGAATGTTGACATAACGAGACTGAAAGGGAAGTGCTGTTCAGGAAATGTTGACTTGGATTTAGGGGAACTATATTCACTGTAATGACTTTGATTACCCCAGGACTTTTGCTTTGCAATTCAATCTATGGCAGTAATACTTGAAAATGAACATACTTATCATCCTGGACCTCCATTTTGCAGTATACATGACGGGTCCAACCAGCATGTGTCATTGACAAATTTTCGTCTTCTAGGCTGGGTGACCCAGGACTGAATCCCAGAATATTCAAAGGAACCTTTCAAAGCGGAATTACAGCCTAATTGGAGAAAAAGCCTTGACTTCAAGAATGATGAAAGATTGAACAAGATTTGTAATTGACTGTTATCTTAGAGATTATAATAAATGTTAATAATTAAACTGAATTTACTGTTGTACTCAATGCGTGTATTTTTATTTATCCTTTAGGCAGCCCTTTCCTCCTGGAGACCGTGTAACTTTTAATGGGAAGGAATGCGTTTGCCAGAAATGCTCTCAGTCTCTGAGTACCAATGCCAAACATGTGTCAGCACAGACACCTCAAAGTGAGTTTAATTATTTCTAAGCGTTCACACCTTAAGGTCCAGTTATTTTTTTCATTTGTAATTTATCTTCATATTGGAGCGTTTGAGGTACGTCCTTTGAAAGCATATTTGGAACACACAACAAAATACAAATAAGAGTGACTCATGCATTGGGCAATTTTAGATATACATGTGGTAGGATTATGTTGAACAGTTGGTTCAGCAGTAATATTGCATTGACAGGTTGAGATTTCTGTACAAAGCCTCCAAGGAACTATGTCTTTTCAACGACTGCAGGTGCTACAGTACTGTAGTTACTCAAATGGCACACTGGAATCTGTTGGGCAATTGAATTAGTATCACTAATGTCACATGCCAGCCTGCTTGCTGCTTGCGATGTGAGAAATCACAGAATCCTTTCATGGTTGGGAGGAGAGATACAGTAACACTATAAAATAAATTACAAATACTTGCTATTGCATAGAGATAGATCATCTCAAGATTATAGCAATAATAACTGCTGGCAAACTGAGATTGAAATGGTAGTGAAAAATAACCCCACTCTGTTTAAATGACATGGAAACATGTAGGTCTGGTTATAAATAATAGCTTGCTCCAGAGAATTACTGATATTTGGTGTTAATAAAGTATGAACTAGTGTACTTTTGACCATGTGGAGATTGATATTCAACTCGTAATTTATGTAAGCTCCTACCCGCTATGATCTTGCAATTACCTCGATCATTCATTTTGTTGCCGATGCTATAATTATCATAATTTTTGTAAATTGTGCATTTTATAATTGATAATGTTGGATTATTAAAGATCAAAATATTAAAAGTTATATTGGAAGGAGCTTTAAAATTGGATTAAAGTAGATAGCTGTGTAATAAATAACACACAGAAACTGGTTATTTATATATTTTGAGGTATCATGAGGGAATGTCTTTAGTTTCTTTCTGTCCCATTAGTAGAAACCCAAAGAAACCACAGTACTAGCCATTTGCACAATTCCTCTAGGGTATCCACTGAGGGTTGACCAATCCCCTTGAAAGTATTTAGTATTGGTGATAGTACACACACATTTTAAACTTTTATTTAACCTAATTTTCTAATTAGCCTATTCAGAGATGTTATTAATCACCTTTGGAGTAGGTGGGACTTGAGCCCAGACTTCCTGGTTCAGGGGTAGGGACACGACCACTGTGCCACAAGAGGGCGCACATACCCATTTTATTATTGGGACATGATAAGGTGGGTAAATGTCACTCATTGATATGGTGAAAGAACAATTAATGTATTTAGGATGCCACTTAATTAGAATTTCAAAGCTTCAGGTTTTACTAATGGGGCATGAGTACTTGGAGGCTTCAGAGTCTCACTTGATGAAAGGAGGCAGCAAGCAAGTGAGATATCCATGCCCATTCACTTTGGCAACCATTAAAAGAGTGTGTCAGAATCCACTTCCAAACATACAAATAAAAAGCAGAAGTAGGCCATTTGGCCCTTCGAGCCTGATCCACCATTCAAAAAGATCAGGACTTCTCTGTTTGAGTTTTGAATTCCACATTCCCATCTACTTCTGATTAACCTTTGATTCCCTTGCCCAAGAAAAGTCTGTCAATTTCCATTTTAAACACATTCAAAAGCCCTGCTTCCACCACTTTCTGAGGGAGAGTGTTTGAAAGACACACAACTGTCTAATAGAAAAGTATTCTTTGTTTCTCTCCTAAAAGGGCAACTCCTAATTTTAAAACAGTGCCCCCTGGTTTTGGATTCACTTATAAGAGGAAACGTAATTTCAACATCCACCTTGTCAAAACCATTCAGGGCTTACAAACTTCAACAAGTCATCTCTACTCTTCTAAATTCCTGTGAAAATAAGCGCAGCCTATCCAGCCATTCCTCATAAGACAGCCCATTCCACCCATCAATCTAGTAAACCTATTCTGAATAGTCTCCAATGCAGTTATGCTCATCATTTAATAAGGAGACAAAATTCCACACGGTATTTGAGATGTGATCTCACCAATGCCCGGTATAATTGAAGCATAGCATCCATACTTTATAGAGATTGCTAAGCTTTTCCAGCAGGTCTGGCAGCATCTGTGAAGGGAAATCAGAGTTAACGTTTCTTGTCTGGTGACCCTTGCTCAGAACTGGACATGCATCTCTTCACAGATGTTGCCAGAGCTGCTGAGCTTTTCCAGCAATCTCTATTTTTGTTTCTGATTTACAGCATCCTTAGTTCTTTCGGTTTTTATCCTTACTTCCATGTCCAATTTGTCTCATAATAAAAAACGGCATTACATTAGTCATCTTAATTACTTGCTGTACCTATATGCTAACATTTTACAATTCATGCACTAAAACATCTAGATCCCACTGCACCTCAGAATTCTGCACTTGTTCTCTGTAATAAACTGCCTTTTATGCTACCTGCCAAATTAATTGATGTCAAATGTTTCCACATTATACTCCATTTCCCAGAGTCTTGCCCACGCACTTAATTTATCTATGTCATCCTGCAACCTCCTTATGTCCTTTTCGCAATCTACTTTCCAAGCTATCTTTTTATCAAATGCAAGTTTAGCTATCATGTCTTTGGTCCTTCATCTAAGTTGTTGATACAATTTGTAAAAAGTTGAGGTCCCCGGCACAGACTGCTGTGGGACCTCTCTCATCAAATTCTATCAATCAATAAAATATCCATTTATGCATGCTCTGTTTTCTGCCAGTCAACCAATCCTCTGCCCATGCTAATATGTAACCCACTACACCTGTGCTTATGCTTTCTATAATAATTTTTTTTGTGGTGCCTTATTAATTGCATTCAGGAGTCCATGTGCATTACTTAATGAGGTTCCCATATTGACAGTGCATGTTACTTCTTCAGAGAACCCTAATCAATTTATTAAACATGATTTTCCTTTTGCAAAACCATGCTGACTCTTTCCAATTACCTTATGTTTACAAAGTGCTCAGCTTTAACCTCAACCGTTGAATCTAGTGCATTCCTCAAAACGGATATCAAGTTAAACAACCTGCAGTGTGTTATTTTTTGCTTCAATAACTCTTAAATAGAGGAATTACTTTTGTTACTGTGCAGTCCAATGGAACCCTTACAGAAACAAACAAATTTTGAAAAAATTATACCAAAGTATCTACTACCTCATTAGCCACCTTTTCTAAAACTGTAGGATGACGTCCATCAGGATCCCAGTACCTTGCAGCCTACAGCTCTATTAGTTTGCACAGTATTTCTTCCCTGGTGAATTTAGGTTCACTAAGTTCCTTCAACTTTTGATTTATAACTATTACTTGTATGTTTGTTTTCCCTATCCTCTATAGTGAAGATAGAAAAACTTGTTAATTTCATCTGTTACGTCCTTGTTATCTACATCACTTTCTGGAGGACCAACATTCACTCTACTTACTTTCTTCCTTTTTAGATACCTTTATAATCTCTTACTATCTGTTTTTACATTTCCAGCTAACTTCCTCTCATACAGTAATTTATTTCTCCTGATTAAACTTTGACATATTTTGCCTTTCTTTATATTCTGACCACTTATCTGACTTGTTACTCATCTACGTTTTTTTCTTAGTTTGATGTTTTCTTTTACGTCATTAGTTAATCCAGATGGTGGTTGTTTTCTTTCCTTTGTACAGAAATATACTTACTCTGAGTATTCTGAAATATCTTTAAGGTAATACTGTCTCATTACACAATACCAAGTTTAATATATCCTTCTCTCTGGTTGGTTCCAGAATATGCTGCTCTAAGAAACTAACTCAAAAGCATCCTATGAACTCTTTGTTTAGGCTATTATTGCCAATCTGATTTTTCCACTTTATATGTTGATTAAAATCATTTAAGGTTATTGCTGTCCCTTGATCACAAGCTCCCAATATTTCTTGTATCCTTTGTTTTACATTGTTACTGTTAAGGTACTCATAGACCACATTCCCACTTATTCCTGTACTATTCTTCACTACCACCAAACTGGTTCTACATCCTGATCATCTGAACCAAGATCATCTCCAACTGTTGCTCAAATGCCATCCTTGATTGAAAGTGCCACCACTCCACCTTCCTCTTTTTCTTAAGTCTCGTATACCTCTCAATACTCAGAACCCAATCCTGGTCATTCTGTAGCCACATCTGTTATGACTCTCGATTATACTTATTTACTTCAATGTTATCAAATTATATACTTTGTTATGAATGCTATACTGATCTACACACAGAGTCCACAATGATTTGTTAGAGGGGAAAAGATGAAGCAACGGTGCAGGAGGAGCTCTGGTGTGTCAGATACACTCACTTGCATTGCCTTCCTCCTTGGCTTGCTGCAGCTGTTAGAGACTCTGCACAATTGAGTCTGTGCCACCATCAGCTGCAAACGCTCCTCCATAACATCACAACACCTTCATTCTTCTCTTGTACCTGGGTCAATAGATATAATGGAAATCTGTGGCTGCCTTCAATGGAATAATGTATGATTATCTTAAGAAGATCCAAAAATATATGGGAATGTCAGCAGACTTGAAGCCCAATGTAGTTGGGTGAAGTTGAAGATCCAGATAAAGAGAGTGTACAGGTAGTTCTGCTATAACACATGTTTCTTTGATGCGAATTGGCTGTAACGTGATTGATGAATAGTGGACACCATTTGGAAAATGCGAACTTTCAGCTGTACACGTATAGTGATTTTTTTCTATGGCGATTTCCCTATAACATGATTTTCTATAGCGCAAGGTCATGCAAGAACGCAACTATTGTATTATAGGAGAATTACCTGTAGGTTCAAATATTGAGAAGTTATTAAGCAAAGGTGACATTTTCTTTTTAGAGGGGAATACAGGCAAATGAGTTAGGAGCATGTGTGGGCTGTTTGGCTGTTCAAGCCTGCTCCTCTATTAGGAAAATGATGGCTGATCTGATTGTAACCTCAACTCCACATTTCCACCTACCCCTGATAATGTATTACCCTCTTGCTTGCCAAAAATCTATCAACCTTTCCCTTCAATATATTCAAAGACTTTATTTTCACAGGCTTCTGAAAAAGAGAGTTTCACTCATGATCTTTTGAGTGGAAAATGGTTATCACATTTCTGTCTAAAATGGGTAACCCCGAGTTCTATCTTTTCACCCAAAAGAAAATGACTCTCCAAATCCACCCTGTCAAGACCCCTCAAATCTTATGTGTTTCAATCATGTCATCTCATACTTTTGCAAATTCCAGTGGATACAACCCTAGTCTGTCCAAGTTTTGCTCATAAGATAACCTGTCCATTCCTGGTATTACTCTAGCAAACATCCTCTAAATAGCTTCCATTGCATTTATATCTTGCTTGAAACAAGGAGACCAATATTGTACACAGTACCCCAAATGTGGTCTCACCAGTACCCTGTGTAACTGAAGCGTAATCCCCAACTTCTGTCTTCAATTCCCTTCGCAATTGAATCAATTTTAAACACAAAAATATTTAAAGTCCGTCAACCAAGGATGAATTTGCCTTGCCTAGAAAACTCCTTTACCTAATACTTACTTGTTTAACAGCAAATAAGCTATCATTGTTTTATAATATGCCCTGGGGGCCAATATAGATACGCAATCACAACATCTCATTTGGATATTGGGTAGTTAACTATTTTTAGCAAACGAAAGATAATATTGCTAATGATAATTAGTCGGTGGAAAAGAGATAATGTGGACTGGTCCTGGTTGTGCTAGATCATGAAAGTGAAGCCAGAACTTAAACGTAGTAAAGTGCTACAGTTTCCATTCATGATTTTTGAAAATGTGTTTATATGTATAAACAACTAGATTAAGGATTCTGATATACTTTTAACAAGATATTTAATGAGCTCATCTAATCTTGCTGTTTTTGCAGAGTGTGGAGGCTGTGACCTGGAAATAAAAAATGGACAATCCTTGGTGGCTTTGGACAGGCAGTGGCACCTTGGCTGTTTTAAGTGTCATACTTGTGGGAAAGCCCTGTCTGCTGAGTACATCTGCAAGTAAGTACAGTTTGATTGAATGATGTAGGAACAATCAAAAATTAAATAAAAATCCATTTCTCTTGATGGGGCAAGGGGCAGTGGGGAATGAAAAACTGGTGGAATCAAATTGGCTACTGGCTACACGTTATGGCCATTCAATTTTCATTTCCATTTCCTTCAGAGTAAAGGCAATTGCCCAGGTAAGTGACAGGTGATCAATCATCATGTGTTCCCAGTTCTGCCAAAGTTGAAAGTTACCTCAAATTAAAACAAGAAATTGCAGATGCTGGAATTCTGAAATAAAAACAAAGTGCTGAAGAAATTTAGGAGCTATGGCAACATCTATGGAAAGAGAAAGCATTGATGTTTTGAGTCTTATTTAACTCTTTTTCAGAACTGGCTCTGAAGAACTGTAACCACTTCTGAAGAGTCATGCCAGGTTTGAAATGTTAACACCTTTATTGGTTTCCGATGCTGCCAGGCCTCTGAGTTTCTCCAGCACTTTCTATTTATATTATTGTAAGTTACTTCTGTGTCTTCAGATAGTCTGGACTTCAACAGAGTTTGCGGAATTTGCATGTGTTTCTTCCAATTCCTGCAGTAACTTGATTTAGAGAATGATGGAACCCTATAGAAACAGTGGGCAGCAACATGGACATTTTTGGCCATTTGTGGCTTTCTCCAAGAGTTCTGTTAATCTTCTGTCAATGTTGCAGCAGGAAGTCAGGTGGACCCTCCTCAAAAATTCTAGGTAAATACTGCAGAAGTTAATCTCTCAATTTATCACAAGTGAATTGAGCAATGTGTGCACAAAGACATGAAACATTTCTGATAACAGTTATTGTTACGAGGAGTTAGTCCTGCTTTACACACCATGTAGAATTTATTGAAGCTTGCTAAAGTGGGAAACAGGGTGGGTAGAGCAATTGAATTGAGACGGAGAACTTGGGTCAGCATTTCAGCAGTGAGCAAACAGAATGCTGTTTAACAGGATGGAAACAAAGAAGCAGTGCAGACTGGAAGTAGAGAGAAAGTAGTTAAACACATTGTCAAGCTCATGGTCAAGGCCTTTAAGTCAAATTTACACATCTCTAAATTGAAGGTTAAACTGTCTTGCAAATTTACTGGGATGTGTACAGCAGTCCTGTGCTTTCAGAAACCCTTCCATTGAAACCTGGAGGTTTTTGGGGACCATCTCTGTCTTAAAGTGAAAAACTTTCCCTCCCTTTCATTTGCATTGCAGTCTAAAACAGAAGAGGAAGTGAAGCAAAAGTTTGATTAAATGAAAAAGCCAATACTGATGAACTGGAGAACAGAACCTTAAAGAAGAAACGGAAGGGCCAGGGCCTTAAAGGGGATGACTCTTCAATCTCAGTCTTAAGGTCATTCACTCAAATCCATCCTTGCAGTGCATGTAGGCCATTCACTTTCTTCCTGTACTAGACACTTGACTCTCAGTGGTGCTCACAATAAATGCTGCCTGGCCAGCGATACCCTCATTCCATGAATGAATAAAGTTGCTTACCTCCACTGTGATATCCATCCAGTTTTCCTTACTCAGGTATTAGGGTTTCTTCCTTACATCAGTTGGGAACAAGACCTCTTACTGTTTCAGAACTGCCTGGAGGAGGACACACAGAAGGGTGTGGAGAATTGTGGAGTTACATTCAGCTGCATCTTTTTCTTAATGGTCTAGGTCTTGTTTTTCAAAATGCTCACTATCATTCTGAGGGTGTAGGAGATGCATTTTGCATTTGAAGTTTTTAGAATTGCATTCAGGTATGCCCATTTCAGGGCTGAGGTTTATTGCTGTGAAATTGCATTGCTCTTCATTATACTAACAATCCATTATTGTTTAGGAGGTATATAGCAGGCCTTCAGGGGCTCTCTTGTGGCATTGTGTCCTTACCCCTGGACCAAGAGGCCTGTGTTCAAGTCCCACCTGCTCTAGAGATGTGTAATAACATCTCTGAACAGCTTGATTAGAAAAGTAAGTATATAGCAGGCCAATTAGAAAAGTGTGGTGTCATCAGGCAAAGTCAACAAATGAAAAATCATGTTTTGCTAAATTCCTTGAGGAAGTAACAAGTAACATCAATGAAGGGGAACTGGTGGATGTACTCTACTCCGATTTCCAGCAAACATCTGACAAAATGCAACATCAAAGGTTACAAAGCAAAATAACAGCTCGTGATATGGGGGTAACATGTTAGCATGGATAAAGGACAGATTAGCTAATTGGAAGCTAAAGGGTGGGCATAACTAGTTGGCAGGATATGGCAAGTGGCATTCCACAGAGGATTAGTGTTGGGACCTCGGTTATTTACAATTTATATTAATGACTTGGGATGAAGGGACCAAGCATCTCATTACTAAATTTGCTGATGATACAAGGAGAAGTGGGAAAGTAATTTGTGACAAGTCCATAAAATGCCTGCAAGGTGATATAGTTAGGTTAGATGTGTGGACAAACACTTGGAACGTGGGTTATAATTTGGGGAAATGTGACATTATCTACTTTGGAAGGAAGAATGGAAAGAATAGTTTAAATTCTACAACTCTGAGGTACATGAGGATTCCGGTTTCCTGGTACATGAGCCACAGAAAGTTAGTATGCAGGTACAGCAAGTGATTAGGAAAGCACATGGAATGTTGTTGCTTATTGCAATAGGAATGGAATATAAAAGTAAAGACATATTGCTCAGTAGTATAAAGCTTTGGTGAGGTCACGTATGGAGTACTATGTACAGTCTTGGTCTCCTTATTTAAGAAAGGACATAATTGAATTAGAAACATTCAGCAAAGGTTCACCCAACTGATACCTGGAATTGAAAGACAGGGGTGAGGGGCAGGATGTTGTCTTGTGAGGAAAGATTTACAGGTTGGGCTTGTATCCATTGGAGTTTAGAAGAATGAGAGGTGATCATTTTGAAACAGATAACATAAGAAACTTGACACCGTAGAAGCTGATGTTTCTTTGTGGGAAAGGGTTTATTAGTCTGGTGAACTGTACTTCTCAGAAAATGGTGGATGTTGGTTTGTTGCAAGCTTTTAAGACCGAGGTAAAAGGATTGTTGACTAATAAGGGAGTTAGAGGTTATCGGAATAGGTAGGAATGTGAAATACAAGTCACAATCAGCTAAGTTATGAATTGTGGAGCAGGCTGCCAGGGCTGAAAGACCTTCTTCTGTTTCTAATTCTGTAAAGATCATATCTTTTTACTTTTCTGTGCTTTAATTGGAGACTGAAATGGGAAATGAGCTATTTTAAAAACTAAGCGTTGTTGAAGGTTTGCTGCACTTTTTAAAAGCAAGTAGCCTGACACTCATTGTAAGTATTATTTACAGCTTCTTGTTCAAGCAGTAGTGGAAGCCTAGTAATAGACAAGCTGGAGCCAGGGGCTCTGGGAATGAAGCTTCAGCCAGCAACAAATAGCTTATTGATCTGTGGACTAGAGGGCAATTACCAAAGACAAAGGCCTCCTGCCTGCCGACAACTGAGATTGGCTCCCAATTAGCTAAACAGCTTGTGAGTGTGAAAAACCAAAGAACTGAGAATGCTGGAAACCTGAAACAAAAGCAGAAATTGCTGAAAAATCTCTGCAGGTCAGGCAGCATCTGTGGATAGAAAGCAGATTTAATGTTGCAGGTCCAGTGGACCCTCCTTCAGCACCCTGAGTTTTTCTAGCATTTCTGATTTTGTTTGAGAATGTGAAAGTTTGAGAGAAGCAACCAGACCTGCAGGAAGAAAGTATGTCTGATCTGTAATTAAAAGAATCTCAAGTCTGATGATAACCAGTTTATTTCCCCTCAATAGTTAGTGTAAGCTGTGACTTTTTGTCAGAGACCTTTGAGTGTGAACCAATCACCTTGTGCCTCCTGCACACAAGTAAAATATCTGATGAAGGAATATTGAGAGCAAATCCTATGGATAAGAATGGCAAAACCACTTCCTCAGTCTTTCCCTTCACCCACAACATCTATTTCTTTTTGTAGCTATCTGTATGTGTGTGTGAAGGGGTGATTTTGTAAGTGGGTTAGAGTTTTATCTAGTAGGTATACGTCAATTGTTCATAATTTTTCTCTAGTAAGAATCTATTTATTTAAGAAATAGCAACTCTTGCTAAGTTTAGGAATCTGGTCTGTGCTTTCTGTCAGGCTGGATGTAAAAGACAGGTAAATTGGCGATTTGCATGCTTTTAATAAATCTTTAACTTATGTGATATCTCCAGGAATAGTGGGATTTGATTTCTAGCACACTGCCCCAGGGAGGCATAGCAACTCATGTGTTTGGATGTGTTGCTGTTAGAGAACCAGTGAAGGGTATTTAAACTATGCAAGCAGAGCTGACTGACATTTAAAAGTGGTGCCAGGACATGTCCAGCCATCAGCTGCTGTTGGAATTGCTCCATCCTCCTCCTCAACCTGTATGATTGACAGGTCCCATGTCTTCTGGGCATAATTGCATTTGGATTCATAGAATCCCTACTGTGTGGAAGCAGGCTATTCAGCCTATCAGGTCAAATTTACCAGTTTTAAGTTGGGATATAGCAGACCACATAACAGAATTCAAACTGTTTAATTTTTTTTTCCTTTATTCATTAATGGGACAAGGGCATCACTGGCTAGGCAGCATTTATTGCCCATCCCTAATTGCCTAGAAGGCAGTTCGGAGTCAACTACATTGCTGTGGGTCTGGAGTCACATATAGGCCAGACCAGGTAAGGATGGCAGTTTCTTTCCCTAAAGGTCAGATGCTTTTTTCCTGACAATGGACAATGGACATTATTAGATTCTTAATTCCAGATATGTATTGAATTCAAATTCCACCATCTGCCGTGGCGGGATTCGAACCAGGTCCCCAGAATGTTATCTGGGTTACTGGATTAACAATCCAGTGATTATAGGCCATCACTTCCCATTTAAACAGTTTTCAGAGCTGTGGTGTCTAGATTTAGGTATGTTCGATGCAGAAAAGGAAGCATGAAGATTTGCTTAGCAATCACGATCAAAGGTCAA